CTGATCATTTATGTATACATTTGTCTATATCTATCTCGATTCGTTTTGCCTGTTACAAACAACCGTTATGTGAACAAAGTTATAATACCCTTGTGCACAAGTGCGCTCGGGTATAAAAACGAAACCGACTTCAATTCTCATATAAAAATTTGATAGTACCGTTAATTTCTTCGTGATTCAATGATCGATCGGATCTAAACAAAATTTATATGGGACCACCTCTGAGGCACCACCTTTCCGATAGGAAATTTGCCGATAGGTGGCGCGCAAGTTGATATATTTGGTAAACCAGTATTTATGGTCCGATTTCGTTCATATTTAGAAAGCTTGCTTTAAAAATATTTGTTTTTACTATTAACTTATTTATTTTATACGACGCCGCTAGCTGAATAGTTTGCCATTTAGAAGGAACTCGGTCTTTATTTTACAAAGCTTGACTGCAGAAATGCCCTTCAAGATAGATGCATATATTTCTTCTTTTTAAAAAAGATGTATGAAAATCTTATTGTACTAATGCATCAAATTGAAATTAAATTGTTTTTGTTAAAATTTTTTTCCATATACCCTTTAAGGATACATATACATATGTATATATATATGTGTACATATTTTTACCTCTTGACATTTTTATTCTCAAGAAAAAACAGACAAAGAGAATAATAATGCATTTCAATTCCTACAGCTCCAACAACCGACAGAGATGCGGACGATGGTCGACCTCTAAGCCTAGTTAACAGAAGACCTTCGATATCAGCTCCAATCATTATTCGGAAAGCTTCTGGGTCTGGATCACGCATCCACACGCCACCTCCCAGTCCTGCGGATCTCTTAGCCGATGGTGCGTCCAGCACTCCCAAGCGCTTAGTAGACGGTGAGTTAAAAATTTGCATATGCTTTTTAAAAATGTATTTCATTGAATTACGCTTCAACAGAAAATGACAACACAACGCCCAGGCATGAAGAAACGGTGGAGAAAAATGCGCCTTCGGAATGCGTCAATACTAACTTAAATGAGTCCGAATTAGCAGGTGATACAGAAAAGCTTAACACTATAAGGATAAAGCAGGAAGTGGAGCTCTGCAATGATGAAACGAGTATGAACAACGCATTGCTTGCTAACGATTCCAGCCAGGACAATAACGATGGTCAACCGATGTCAAAACGTCCGAAAATTGAAGTTGTTGACGCGGAATCTAACACATTGCACTCAGGTAGGATTGTCTCATTTAAAAATTATAAAATTACAATTACATATACCTATGTGGAGGTACATACCTACCTGCATTTATATTATAAATTTTTAATTATTGTGGATTCATTGATTCTAACATTCCAATGATGCTAAGTATTTAGTTAGAGAGGGCACCACTCTGATTTCGAGTGTTGAATATCCAAAATATTTTCGTTGCAAACATATATAAATACCTACATGCTTGATGTACGTATGTACATACATTAGCAGAGCGAGATGCACACAAACATATGACATGCAGATACGCTGGTGAACTATGCGACACCACTGTTGACAGACAGGGCAATGCATAATTTAAAAAGAATTCCGCACAAAAATGTTTTTGATGTTAAAGATTTATTTGATATGTCAACGCAAGAAAAAAATCACATGCAATATGTATGTATTTGGACAGAGCGGAAACACAGCAGAAAAACAATGGGCATTGATAAGTACATACATATGTATGTATGGATTTGTCACGTCATCACTCTTGACCTTTAGGCTTTCACCCTTCAAAAATGCAGTGAGCATCGCAATCCTGCTAAATAAAAACAGGTAATCCTGACATCAAAAGCCACTGCAAAGTTTTTAGCATGAGTTCAAAAAAGATAAGAATTATCTGTAATGGTTATGCCCTCATTGATCACAAAGGGCGCAGAATTTAGTGGTTCGTACATCGCAACTTACTTCATACTTATGATGTTATATATATATATATATATTATATATATATATATATATATATAT